GCCTATTTCCTCAATTGTTTTTCAATAAAAGTAGCTCAAAATTGAATTTCATTTGAAGCTTAATGCAACCATAAACCAGAAGTTAGCTAGCTAAAAGTTTTTAGCTACATTGCCTGTAACCTTGTTTCCTCCGAAAAAAAAAGACAAGATTGTGAAGAAAGGGGGGAAACACATTTTTTTATTAGTTACAATGATAAGTCCCAAGACTTTTGACTTTTCAATCCTAAAAAGAATCAACTATTACTTTTAAAATATGTTTTTTTTTTATCAAATATAGAAATGAGAATAAAATACCGATTAAGTACTTGCAACATTTGAATTTCTTGAAGCTTCAAGTTAGCTTGGTGTTTCTAAAATAACTTCTCAAAATAGAGGCCAACTCAACTTTTTAAATTAAAACTAGCTCATTGATAATGTATTCTCACCATGATAATTTAAATCTAGACTTACCTCTTAAAAGGTATTGGTCATTAAGTGATATTTATAATTCATATAATGTTGCTTTTTTTACTTTTGAACCACAATGTTTTGAAAAAGACTATAAAAAAAGAAGCATGGAGAAAGGCTATAAATGAAGAGCCAAACTGAAAGTCAATGATATATCTAAAAGAAAAGAAAGCAATTGGATTAAAATATATTTACAAACTAAATATAACAAAGATAGAATCATACAAAAGTATAAGATAAGACTTGTTATTAAAAACTACTCACCACAACCTAGAATATATTTTATATAAATCTTGTTGCTCGAATATAAACTATCAAAATTGTTTCTGTTTTGATAGCTCAATTATAATTATAGGTTTTTTAACTTTACATTAAATTAGTTTTTCTCATTAAAGAATTGAAGGAAAAGGTTTTTGCAAAGTAACCTTTAGGTTATGTGATGAAATGACAAAAAAACAAACTAACAAGGTTTGTCGATTCCATAAGGCTTTTTACATGTCCAAACAAGCACCAAAAACATAGAGTAACAAGATTAAATCATATTTTCATCAAAATAGTTTCCAAAGATGTCAATATGAGCCATCATTTTATGTTAAGAAAAGCTTAAGAGTATATATCATTTTTTTTTATGGTTGATCTTTGTGAGTATAAAAATTTTTTGTTGAAATTTCAGTTGAATATAAATATAAAAAAATTCACTATTAAAATTGATATTTATAAAGTTTGAACAGTTCAAGAAATTCTTAAAATTAAAAAATTAAGAGAAAGTATTAAATAGTAATTTGTATTTTTTTTACAATAATTAGTATCGGTCAAAAGAGTTTATCTTTTGTTTTTCCTAGACTTTGAAACTACCGTACGTGTCTCTAGGTTTCTCAATCTAGAGTTATTTCTCAATATCCTTAAATAGAGTTTTATTTTCTTTTTTATTACTTGTATCATATATAAATAAATAAATAAATAAAAAACTTTGTACTAGCATCGAGCTGCAGCTCTACCAAGTATTATTTTCAGTATAAATTCTTCTCCACCATTTTTCCACCATTGAAATGGATTGACAGCAACAAGAATGTTTCCACTGCAAGCCTGCTGTTAAGTCAAAATATTATAATGGCCCACACCTATACTGGCAGCATTTTTTTAAAATTTTAATTTTTTTTATTAAAAAATAAATTTTATGTTTTTAAATTGATTTATATATTAAAAATAATTTTATAAAAAATAAAAAAATATATTATTTTAATATATTTTTAAACTAAAAATACTTTAAACCATAACTATTATCATAATTTTAAATAAACTCTGTAAAAAAAAAAACAGCATGATCATGTCATCAACTCCATCGGGAGGAGCTAAAACAGTATTGTTTAGATATGTCGGCCACAAAACGAAGAAGATTACTGATCATTATGCTGGTTTATTTTTGTATTTTAAAAATAATTTTTAAAATTTTTAAAATTTTTTATTTTTTATTTTAAATTAATATTTTTTTTATTTTTAGATAATTTTGATAAACTGATATCAAAAATAATTTTAAAAAATAAAAAATATTATTTTAATATATTTTTAAATAAAAATACTTCAAAAATCAATCATAACAATATACTTAAATATACTATAATAACAACTCTATTTATCCGATTCAACCAACATGAGAACCACTTTCCACATCTGCTGTCGTTCCCAACAGCAGTTAAATTCATAGCATTATAAATTAATTACTAAAAACTTGTTTGATATTTTTTTAAAATATTTTTTTATTTAAAATATATTAAAATATTTTTTTTATTTTTTAAAATTTATTTTTGATATTAATATATCAAAATAACTTGAAAACACGCACGAAAATTAATTTAAAAAATATAAAAACAAATTCTAACATTTTTGAAATACAATTTTAAAAAAGAAAACTTGACGTTGCAAAATTTGTTCTTCATAAACAAAAGATCATTCCTCAGCCCAACCCATCAGGAGCCGGTGTGTGTAATCCAAGCCAGAGAGAGAGTTTGAGTTTTTGCAAACTGGAATTTTACTACATTTCCTTACTGTTTTCTTGAACCTGGTTGAGGACATAGTAGTTAAACCGGCTTGAGATAATACCCGAGTTATAAATCTGACAAATTAACCTTAAAATATCAAAAGTTACGTCGTTTTGATAAAAATGTTTCTTAAAAAAAGTTGATGGATTTTTTAATCAGCGATTATAAATTAACTTGGGCTTTGATTTAATTACGGCAGGTCACCTCTCACTTTTATTTGTTCTAAGGTTCCTCCTGGGCCGAGGGCATGGATACACCTACCAGGCTAATGTCCAGAGTTGAGCAACTTAGATTGTCGTGTCATTGGCCCACGTGGAAACCTTGCTGGTAAAACCAATAAAACCACTAACATGAGCTAGGCTTCACTTTGGATCTCTATTTTTAGCTCTGCTGTGAAGAATATTAAGCAATCCTGAGTTCTAAGATTCAAATCTTTCAGCAATTAAAACAAAAAAAAAAAACTATTTTAAATATATTTATGGGTATTTCTAGCGTATGGCACGAGGGGATCTGTTAATGGATCTAATTGAAAGGTTTCATTTATATTATTAATTGATTTATTTCAATAGTTGAATAAGATCCTATTTCATAATTTAATATCGCTGTCTATGTAAATTAAATCATTCATATTATTTAAATTAATGTGTGCTATTAGGGATCATGATAGAGAGATTATTCAAAAAATTACAACAAGTAATGGATCGTGTATTTTCTTTTTAATCATGAAAATCTTATAGAATGTTAGGGTAAGTGACTAATTATTATAAAATTATTAAAATATTTTTTTTAAAACAAAATACATAGGGATGAATTCTTGCACTGGCTATACAATATATATTTATTTATTTTATTTATTTATTTAAATTTACTTATAAAAATATATGTATATTTGTAAAGCAGTGCTAATATTTTTAAATTAAAAACAAATTAAAATAATTTTTTTATATTTTATATTTTTAATATCAATATATTAAAAGTAATACAAAAACATATAAAAATGTCAATTTAATATTTTTTTAAATATAAAACAACTAAAGTGACTAGATACACTTAATATTTATGTTTATTTAGTATTGTGCTGAATAATAATATATATATTTTAATATAAAATGTTTAAAAATATTAAAAAATAATTTAATATTTTTACCAAAAAAACAAATCTAGACGAAGGAAAAAGCACAGACCAAATCCAAACAAATATAATCATATCTCCTCTCCACAGTTAGCACCAAAAACAAACCCGCATTCCACGTGTCAAAAAACAAGAAGGGTCATATCCAGAAAAGGCAATCACCCCTGCACTTTCCTGCAGAAGTTTCCATTGCCATAAAGTAAAGCTCCTTGATCAACAACAAAATGCTTATAAACTGCTGCCACTCGTGCTAGCAGGCAGCAGCCATAACCACTCCACCACAGCCTTCTTCCTCCATGCGGATTTCAAAGCCACTCCTCAGCTTTATCATCTCCAGATCCTGAAAATAGAGCTTTATTTATTTTTATAATATTTGAAAATAAAAGAAAGAAAAGAAAATAAAATGGCTCCATCTGCTTCATCGTCATCACAGCTTCAAATTAATGAAACCCAAACCCTAATCCCAGGTATTCCAGACGACATCGCTTCACAAATCCTGTCAATGATACCGTACTCGCACCATTCACGCATCAAACCTACTTGCAAATCATGGCACAGCATCAATCCTGGTCCAGGACCCTATTTTTACTCCGCCACCATCTCCGCCACTCCAACCACCTCTTAATAATCTTCCCGCAGGATCCATTCATCTCTTTGCCTTACCTATTCGATCCGCAAAACCTCGCTTGGCGTCCACTCCCACCCATGCCGTGTAACCCTCACGTTTACGGACTCAGTAATTTCACTTCGGTTTCGATGGGCCCTACTCTACGTCCTCGGTGGGTCCCTCTTCGACACCCGGTCTTACCCCATCGACCGTCCTACAACAACATCGTTTGATTTTCGGTTTAATTTTGTTGATTTCCTGTGGGAGAAACTGTGTCCGATGATTTCCACGCGTGGTTCTTTTGCTTGTGTGGCGGTTCCTGATTTGGGCCAAATAATTGTGGCTGGAGGAGGGTCGAGGCATACGTGTTTTGGTGCGGCGGGGAGTAGGATAAGTTCGGTGGAGAGGTATGATGTTGGGAAAGATGAGTGGGTGGCAATAGACGGGTTGCCGAGATACAAGGCAGGGTGTGCGGGGTTTTTGAGTGGGAATCGGGAGGAAAAGGAGTTTTGGGTAGTGGGAGGGTATGGAGAGTCGAGGACGATTTCGGGGATTTTTCCGGTAGATGAGTATTACAAGGATGCTGTTGTGATGGATCTGGAGAAGAATGGATGTGGGAAATGGAGGGAAGTTGGGGATTTGTGGGGTGTTGCGGGGAGAGGGAGGCTCGGGAAGATTGTTGCTGTTGAGGAGGCTGAAGCTGAGGGCTTGGGAGTGAATCAGGGTCGCCCTGTTGTCTTCATGCTTGATGGGGATGAGATTTTCAGGTGAGTCATTATAATGTTTTTCCTGTCATTGTGGTGAAGTTATTTGTATTGTTAGTGTTTATTCTGTATTCGAAGTGATAGGTGCTAGCTATTGAATTGAAGTAATTAGCTAAGTCACTTGCATTTCTAGTTAGGGTTTATGCTATACTTGACGTTGCTGTTAGATGCTATTTGATTTGTCTGTTTTAGATGCTGTTGTGCTATACAGAAGTAGTAACAATTCACTTCCATTTAATGAACTAAAGAAGCATGCTTAAACAGGTAGATTGTTTAAGTAGACACGTAAACTATTGCGGCAACATAGGATCCATTGGACCCCTTATTAGAAAAGGGAAAGCAGTTTTCCAAACCTGTGCGTAGAACTTGACTCATGTCGTTGCAACACGTGCATGGGATACTTCTAGGTTTCCATGTATCGTGTCTCTGAGGCCAGCTGGCCACAGGGTTCTGGTGGACTAAACCGCATATATTTGTCACGTGGTTATTAGATTGCCAAATACGCCAGCATAATACTATAGACATGTTCTGTGTTTTTCTAGTGTTTTTATCCTCCAATGTCATTGTATTCTATGTTGTGCATTTCAGTTACTTTAATTGTCAAGAGATGTTTTAAAAAATGCTACAAACTCAATAACCTTCGTATTCCATTGCAGATTGCATAAAACAAGAATGAATACTATTTAGGATCAATCAAGAGTCTTCATGAATTATTGACACATTGCATGCTAACAAGAGTAGGATACATACATGCACACATACATGCATGCATGCATGCATACATATATATTGGAGTGTGTTATTAGCAATTGCAGTTGGGATTAATATTATCAGATTATAGTAAGTCTTGGTCGCTATATATATATTGGAGTGCCTTATTAGTAATCGCAGTTGGGATTAATATTATCAGATTATAATAAGTCTTGGTCACTGATTAATGTGGGGATGCGTGGCTAGGTAATGCAGAGACTAATACATATGGTTCTGTAAATGGCGGTTTATCACGGGTATTCTAGTCTTTTTAGGTTCTTTTATTGTGTTTTTTTTAAGTAGCTAGCATTAGTGTTTGGTAGAATTTTCTTAAAAATTTAAAACTGGTGTTAAGACCACTACCCGTGCTAAAATATGGTTCTGCTGAAGCAGCCTTGCAATTCAAAGTAGTCTCAGCAAAACAAATTTGAAAACCATTGCTTCCAATTTGCAAGTACCCTTAGATATATCAGAGTGTCCCTCCACTCTTTTAATGAGACAGCCTTATGCATTATTCAAATGAAACATGTAATGGCATATTCCTTCTTTTCTTTCCCTAGAAAAACAATAAACTTGCCATTTCCCTTTGGCAATGTGAGAGAAATGTATGTTCTGGTGTCAGAATTTTATTTGAAATTCATTTGCATTGAATTATTTGAAATGTAAAATATTATGTGTAGGATGTTAGTTGAAGTGTTTATTAGCATCTTCCTTTTAAGGTAGTTCTATCTTTCATATAGGAGATGATTCAGGTGGATATGTGTTGCATTAGGCTATAAATGTTGATCTGTGCTCACTCCACTCACCATTTAATGATCCAGCTAGTGTTTCCACTGTACCTTTGCCCTCTCTTAAGTTACAAAATGTGTTTAAGCTTAGAAGCTATTTCTCTCTTTTTCTCTGCATGGGGGGTGGTTGCTTTTGCACATGTACATGGACTATTGTGTACACACATATCTATATATTTGTTTTTCTTAGACATGTTTGTGTATATGTCTTATTGATTGAATAAATAGTAACTTTCTATCTTGGGAGTTTTGGAATTCACTTGTTTATTCTATACTAATTCATCTTGTCAAGGCTAGTAAGAATGTATAATGGAATGGTTAGAACACCTGCAGCATCTATTTTCAGGTGTTTTCAAATGTGATATGACCATGTTTATTGAAAGGTCTTCATTCTGATCAACTCTCTTCTATTATTGTGTCATTGAAATTTGGTTTGATTAATGGTAGTGGAATGGTTATTTGAAGTCCTTGATAGGTTGAGGTTACCTTGTTTGTATGATCGACTTAGTAGTAAGGCAGCTTTGTTTTTGATAAGTTCTGGTGAAAACGAAATGCTAATGAACAAATATGGGTTGCTATTTTTATGTGTCTGTAACGGTAGATCATTTGAGGGCTTCTGTCGAATTTTGTAATAAAGTATACAATGTGTTAAGCGAGGGCACTAACAAGTGAAAAGACGGGTCATGCATGCATTTATGGGATGGTAAACTGCATTTGGTTAAGTTCCCCATAAGTTTTGTCTTAATATGCAATTTTCAATCAGATTTTCTGCCTTTTAACATGTAAAAATAATGCTCTCTTTAGCTTTTTCTCCTATGCACACATGCTCGTGCCGATCCTCTGAACACACATGCTAGCAGCAACAAAACTGCCTGATAATTTTGATGTTACTATCGTTGTGTGGGTTTTATTATATGACCACACAGAAAGGCACAAAAGGATCAATTTAGCCAGCCTGAAGTATTTTAGGATTGAGGCTTGGTTATTGTTGTTGTTAACTATGCATGGGTTACAAAATGATTTATTTATTTATTTTTGATGTTCCCTAGGAGTCGGTGATGCTAACTAATTCATGTGTTCCTCATATTGCAGATATGACATGGCTTCAAACTCTTGGCAGAAAGAGTCCAGTGTACCTCGAAAAGCTACTTACAACTCCTCATTTGGTTTTGTTGTGTTGGACGGTGAGCTACATGTAATGACTCCAGTGCAAGGGGGTGATTTGATGGAAACTCGAAGGTCACGGCAGCAGAAGAGGGGAGGAACACTTTTAGTTCAAATCTATCATCCTAAGATGAAGACATGGAGATCACTTGTTACAAAACCACCATTCTATTACCCATTGGATTTCAAGACTGCAATAATGTACACCATCCAGCTTTAGACAATTACATCTTGTGGTTATCATAGTTAACAGGCTTACAGCTACCCCATATCTGTAATAGTTGCGTTACCTGAGTTCCCGAATCTCGTACTTTACTCATAGCATCTGGTGTTTAGCCAATGTACAGATTGATGAAATGCCGCACAGCACCAATAAATTATATTCAAGTACATCGTTTTTTTACATAAATATGTAGCATGTATAAAAGCAACAGTGTTGTTGAGCTTTTGTAAAGGTAAAGATGGCCTAATAATTCATCATCACCGGAAATAAATGCCCACTTGAAATACAGCTCGTATAGTTTTTGGTTTTGGGGCAGGCTCACCGGCTCTTGCATCCTAACGAATTTTCTGCTGAAAAAGTCTCGACCCTGACCCTTGAGGGCATTCAATGTTCATTTCGAAAGACCTGTGAACTGATGGTTTTTTCTCGTGGCTTTTGTGAATTTCCTAGTGCTGAAGCACAGGTAGATTTGCCTATGCATGTGACGTGTGAACATTAGGATTGCCTCGTACGCAAGCAAACCCCAGCCTTCCCTTTCCTTCTGAACAGTTCGGTTCTGTAGTCAAGAGTCAAGAGCCCGCGTAATCTACCACCAACTACAAACGAAAAATCAAGTCATGCAGGTACGTTGGTATTGCGACTAACCCATCCATAACTCCATGAGGATGGAGGGTGCCACCCTACAAAATTTACATAATTAGAATAGCTTATACGGTTAACAAAAAAAATAAAATTCAAGTCATGGGTAATTATTTAGTATCATTATTAAATCATATCTTTCAGTACAATTTTTTTAATCTAAATTAAAATTAAACTATGTAAAAATTATTCTTTAGTTGACTTGACATATTAAAAAATAATGTAGAAAATTAATAAAAAAATATAATTGAATTTGAAGAGATATTCAAACTAAATTCTTTGATTTGATTATGACATATTCAATCAACTAAATTTGTATAGTTTAATCCATTAAATTTATAATTTGTATGATGAATTTCATTGTGTTTAAAAAGATTGTGTTATTTAAATTATTTTTTACTTAATTATATAATAATAAAAATAAATATTTATAAAATTGAATATAAATCAAATATCATGATGTTTATTGAGATTGTGATAATTTTATAAAAAAATAAATTAAAATAATTAAAAATAAACAAATATTAAATAAAAAGTTTTATAAATGAAAATAAATAAAATAAATAAAAGGAGAAAATGCATGTTAAAAAATAACCCACCTCCTTCATTGTTTATATAAACAGTGAAGGAGCACCCTAAAACTTTTAGCATCGAGTATATTATTTTAGACTTATTAAATATATAATATAGTTCCATGAGCGTGCGTATGGGATAATATAAATAATATCTTAAAATTTTATTTAATAATTTAAATTTTTAAATTGAGATAATTTTTTGACGTGATTTTAAAGTCTGATCAAGTAATTATGAGTTTAAATCTTATTATTTCTATTTATTTGATAAGAATCAAGTATAAGGTAATATCAATCTATATAAATTTTAAATGTAAATTTAAAGAAGTATGTTAAAATATAATATAAATTATATTTTAAATTATTATCTAATAATTTAAATTTCATAATTTGTAAGGAAAAAACTTTACTGCTTGGACGGAGAAACATGTCTGTTCTTGTCACATTGGATTGTTCGATATATTTGATCATTTTTTTCTAGATTGTTTACGGAAGTTCTATTGATTATAGTTTGATATAAAATCATATATTTATCCACGTTTACTCGTATATCCAATAAATAAAAGGAGAGAGAATTTTTATTCTATGAAATATTTTTAGTAAAAAGATAAATAGTGTCAGGAAACACGTAATAATGGAATGATCCAAAAATAAAATATAATTAGAGAAAGCCTCATAATTAAAGAAAATTGATATTTATTCAAGTTTTTTTTTTAAAAAAAAAAGTCAAATTAATTCCTTTGTTTTCTTGTGTAACATCATCAGTTATACATTATTTTTACATCACAACCGAACTTAACTTGAAATGGTTGCTCCAAACAAATTAAAAAAAAAAAAACAAATAATCAAGGTATAAGGATTGATCATCAAGCCTCATCATCTCCATTCCTGGCGATTAAAAGAAAGAAAACGTTAAGAAACTTGATCTTCTTCACGGATGTTCTTAGAAATGGAAGAAGCCACGGCATGTTTGGAAAACGCAGGAGGTGAACGTGCTACATTCCCAGCTATATTCATCCCTTTAAATTTGCAAGTCCCGCCGGCTCCTCTCGGTATGTAAGTGCATGGATTGGGACCTGATGGTGTCACAGAACCTTTTGGGAGGGACTGCAACAACAACCCCTCTTGCTTTAGCAATTGGTATCCTAATGGCCTCGTTGCACCAGGTTGAAGAGAAGCAGAAAGAATCGATAAAATGAAAAAAATGATGAACGTGCTTTCCCTGTGACAGAACCCCATCTCTTACAAAATGATCAGAACGTTGTTCTTGAAGCTTTTCTCTTTTCCCTCCTCTATTCACCTAAATGCCTTATCTTCTTGAGATGGAGGGAAATCAGCTCTTGTTGTGGTGCAGCAAAGAGAATTAATGGTCTCATATATATATAAACAGAGAACCCCAACCTTTGCCATAAGTTTGACCGATAGATGTCTATGTGGGCTTGCAAATACTTTTGAGTTTGACTTAGCCATGGGTTTGAAGGTTGAAACTAGTGTTAGAATTGATCAACATCCGTTAGCTTAGACCCCAGATTCACTGTCATACAAACCGAGGAATAGTTTCTGTTCTATAAGTTGATCCCCCAAAAAAATTGTTCGTTATCAAAGGCCAAAAATATTCAAGGTATTCAAAATCATAATGAAGACTATAAATTACTTTAATTTGCTGCATTATAGTTAAGCTAAATGCAAGCCTTACTTCGGCGTGGGAAAAAGGCACAACTCAAAAAGGTTTGAGGTTTTCTTTGTCATTGAATTCCAAATTGGAGAACCTGAAGTTGTAAAATTGAATTCAAATCGGTGAACCAGAATCTACACGGCTGCAAACAGTGGTTTTGAATAGTATGAATTCTTTTTAATGCTGCTCTTAATTAATTAAATGGATGTTGCATGAGGTTTTTTTCCTAAGTAAATAGAAATATCATATAGTTTAACAGATCATTTAATTGATGCATGAACTTATTTAAATAGCATACATAAAAAGAAAACAACAAGGATTGATACATTATGGTTTTTTTTTTATAAAAAAATAACACCGAAAATATAGCCGCGAAACCAAAAAAAGATTTCATGGGCCAACATGTTCTGTTTCATACAAGTGCAGGACACGCAAATCGCTGATGAGGGTCCTCTGTCGACACCATCTCTTCGGCTTTTTTAACCAGAAAAACAAGGGTTATCTTGTTGTTCTTCGAAGATTAAGAGGGAGTAAGATGTTAATTACTATAACCAATTCCTTATCTAATCCGATTCAATGAAATGTGCTTCAATCTTGATGCAGTTATATAAGCACAATTTCATCTCAGGCAATATCAGTTTCCATTCAATTTTTTATGCCTAGTTTCCATTCAAGTGCAGGCATCATTTGTTTCCAGCATTTCACGCAATGTTCTGAAAGTAAGGTCCGATACTTTGAAATCCTCAAGATGCAAAGGAGAATCACATTGAAAAAAGAAAATAGTCGGACCAACGTAATGGGATAGCACAGGCTGTTTTGCTCTAATCATGTCCAAATTCCCAGCTGGAGCTTACCTGAGGGATATTTTCAGAGTTTGCCCCTGGACTTGCTACAAAGTGAACAGTGACTGCTAGCTCTATCTTCGAACTTAACTATAGAAGCTAATTCATCGGTACAAAATCTAATTTTCGAGGACTATGTCTGATGGTATAAATACAAATATACAGATAGATCATTTAGAAAGTGCAGCCTCTAGTTTCTCCTTCAACTGATCAGCAGCACCACCTTGCGTCCGGATAGAGAATGTGTGAACAATCTTATCACCCTCCACGGACATGTTGCAGTCTTGAGCAGTGATTTGATGTTCTCTGAATGTTTCTATGATGGTAGAAACGGGGTGAGACTCCATAGGGCAGCTTGCCCTCACAACTGCGTCATCCTGTCTAGGCTGAAAATCAATCTCTGGCACTGGCAACTGCTTTTGATTATTGTTTACCATCCCCCTTTCAGTTTCTAAAACCCTGATCTTCTTCTGGAGATCAGTGATAAAGGTAATGGCATCTCCAAGCAGAGAGGCCTTGTCCATTTTAGAGATATTGGGAACCACAGCTCTTAATGCATAAAATCTCTGATTGAGCTTTTCTCTCCTCTGTCGCTCTGCTTCCACATGATTCAGTGGCTCTTCTCTTCCATTGGCAGGCTTTCTTCCTCTCTTCCTAGGTTTCCTCTCATCACCCTGAGGAGACAAGTCATCCTTCGGCTGCTCCAAACCACCCACCAATGTGTCAGCATTGAAACCCACAATGGTTTGGTTCAGATGCGGAAACAGTTTTGCTTCATTCTTATCACTAGGGTGCCCACTAAAAGTACTTCCATAATCTTGATCCGTACTCATTGCTTGCATTGTATAAGGTTCTGAGGTGAAAATCAGTTCATCTTCAACCTTGGGGGAAAAGTTAATGCTAATTGATCGTGATTTTGAGCTAACCAAACTCAGTTCACGTCCAAAAATTTTTGGAGCTGCCTTTGCCTGTGCAGTATTAGAAGCCCCAAAGATGCTTCTTGCCTTCTCCACAAAATCATGCTGCTCAGGAATTGATTTGACCGAACCAAGCTCCAGAACTCCAGATTTAACAGGCAAAAACACCACTGTTTGGAACCCAGCTGATCTTGCTAAAACCGATCTCAATTGATAATGACCTAAACAGCTAGGCATGCCCAGCGCCCAAATTGATCTACCAGACTGGTATGCCTCCCCGGGGCCATATGTTGAATCACACGGAAATGTAAAATACATTGAGGTTAAGTAAAACATCTCCACATCTGAAACCTCATCCAAACTGGCTGCAAAATTATCATCGTTTGTTCCATTAAAGCACATATGCAGTTTTTGAAGCACACGCTTCTTCACCTCTTTTCTCTTCTCAGCTCCCTCCAATTTGCCATCCCCACTAGAGCTTCCATCTCCAATCCCCTGGCCCTTCGGGTCCCGGCAAATTCCATCACCCCAGACCAATATAGACCCACCAGTTTTCAAGCCAGATGCATGCCAGAAAATCGCATAACTCCAATTGAAACCTTCGGCAAGCTGGACAAGACCCTGCTGCACACCCAAACTAACAGGTGGCGAAACCAAATCATTCGATAAGTTTTTGGAAGCCGACGTGATCAAGAATTCACAGGCCTCAACACCCAACACTGATTCCACCATACCCTTTTCTCCATTCACCCAAAATTTCTCGCCCATGTTTGTCTCACTATCAAACCAACCTCAACTTTCTCAAAAACCTGTATCCTACATAAATCCTGCTCCCATTCCAATATTCAAACCACTCCTAATCCATAAATTCCCCAGTTTAAAAGTAAAAATAAATAAATAAATAAGTTAAATACAAGGCTTGGATTCTCAGCAGACTTTAAAGATCACACAAACTCAACAGAACACCAAGTTTCACATAAAGCAAAATGTCTGTTTACAACAAGCTTAAAAAAAAAAAGCTTACTAGGAAGATAAGATCTTGACCCTATTTCCACAACACAACACGTTGTCTAGTTACGGACAGTCAACAAATACTTGTCTAAATGTAGAGCAGGGAACTCACCTATGTATGTGGGTTTGTCTTTTCGAGAATTTTCAGCTTCCAATGATTCTTCAGTTTCAGCTGTCTGAAGATTTTCTCGGTGTTTCGGATTCAAGATTAGATCTAGTGATAGGGTTGTCTTTTTCACTCTTTTTGTTTTTTTATTCGTTATTTCAGCGGGTGTAAATGTGTAATAACCAATAAGGTTGTAGCGTGCTCGTGTCACGAGTTGGTCACTTTTGCTTTTTGACGGTCTGCCACATGCGAAGCACGTTGCTCGGGCAATCCTCCTGCTACCGTAGCCACTAGTTTTTTTAAAAGAAAAGAGCAAAGGGGCAGTTTTAAGAGCCCAGAGCCGTGTGGTGATGGAGTTTCTTCAAAGAAACCCAAATAAGCTCCGTCCCGTTATACTCGTTGGGCATCTGTTACTCGTATTTGTCAACCCCTTTACAGGGTCATTAGGACAGAAAAGGTGCCGGAAGCTCAAGCGATTATAATGTTTTTAAAGGAGTAAAAAAATCTACAACTTTTAATCATCGTGATTGATTTAATAATATAATTAAAAAAAATAATTATATAATTAAAAAAATAATGAATAATAAAAATAAAAATATTTTTCAATATTATAAAAAGATATTATCTAAATATCATTAAAATACCACATTGATCTTATTTAATAATAAAAAAACTAAATAAGAATACTCAAGCCTAATAAATAGAAAAATAAAAAAAAATTCAAGCTCAATCACTATCAAAGTAAGAAGGATGAACTGCAAAAAAATTAGTTTAAAAAAATAACTCAAGTCAATATGTAAAACTCGTTATCTAGTTATAAGATTAAAATAATTCTTTATAAAAAAATTAAATAAAACAATAGAAATAAACTCTTAAGCAAACTAAACCATAAGGCAAAACTGGAATATATATATAAACAAACTTGAGTCAACTTGATTAAGTTGTGACTTGGGATACAAGATTAGGATAATTTTATAGAGAAAAAAATGAAAAAAAATCATGAAATTCAAGGTTTAGTAATTTCATATTGAAAGATAAAACTGAAAAAAAAATATTTAAAAAAAAACCTGAAAAAAAGATAGAAGTAAAATTGAACTAATAATCGAAACTCATGAACTGGATCATGAGACCATGATTATTCTATAAAATAAAAACTTGAAAAAATCATGAAACAAAATTTCTAATCATCCAATATTAAAAAAATTAAAATAATAAAGACCAAATATGATATAAAAATTAAATGAAAGAAAATAATAAGGGGCTAAATTTAAAAATAAAATAAATAAGATAAAAGACAAGAAAAAAATATCAATAAAAAGAATGAGAACTAAAATTGAATACAAAAATTAAATGAAATAAAATGTTGAGGGGTGAAATTAAAAAAAAATCAAGAAAGGAAAAAAAGCAAATAAAAACAGTAATCAAAAGAATAAAAAAATTGGATAAAAAATTAAATTAAATAAGATGTTGATGGATAAAATTGAAAGAAAAAACTTCAAAAGGCATAAAAAATAAAATAAATAGCAATAAAAAAATAAAAACTAAAATTGATAAAAACAAATCAAATTAAGATAATACATTTGGTTTTTTCTAGGGCTAACATGAAATTTAAAGTAATGAGAAAGAAAAAAGAGAGGAAAAGAAAGAAAAAAAATCAAGAAAAAAAATCTATTATAGACTTTTCGTTGTCTCTTCATGTGTACCTCGATCATTATAAATATAAGATACAACATGTTTACTGCTGTTAGGAAAGATGATGCTTGACCTCCAAGAGGTATCGTATGCATTGCTCAAAAAGTATGAGTGCCTTGCAAGCATGAACGTAACACGTGCGAACCAATTTATTTATTTTAATTATATTTATATTTGTTGAAAAAATAAATTACTCCTCACCTAAATCAAATATAACTAAAAATTTATGATAAAAATATTAAAATGCCCTTGAGAATCAATTTTATTTTTTAGCTTTTAAAAGATAATGAAATCATTTTACTATATAATTAAATGGTAAAAGACAAAAAGCCTTTCAACCTATGTTTATTTTTTCTTTGTTTTTAAGGTTATTTAAGTTATTTTACTAAAAGTTCAATTTATCCATACTTAATATAATAATAACATACAAATTATATGAAAAAAAATTATTTTACCTCTAATAATTATAATTAATTAAATAATTTTGTTTAAGAATAACAAAATAATTATTTTAATGTTTGATATGTAATGACATGTTTTGTATATAATAGAATGTAGATCCTTATTAGCTTTTTTTTTTTAATTTTAATTTTAATTATTCATGTTTGGTTCATAAAAAGTGATTTCTTGAAAATAAAAAATTATTTATTTTTTAAAAAATTATGTTTTTATGAAAATCACTTTTTTTTTAAAATATTTTCCATGAACAGGACTTAAGTTTAATTTTTGATGACCCGCCTTACAATCGGCAAGCAGGAGGAGTAGAGGATGGATTTGGCGGTACAGTTATGAATTTGTCTTGAGCCAGCAGCGGGTGGTGCAGGAATGAGAGCGCCACCATCCGGGGCTGCTGTGCTGGTTGCGCTCTGCTTGCTTTTATTTATTTATTTCTAAAGACTTGTATCCGATGCTTTGCTGGGTTCTTGCTTAGACATACAGGCCTGAGGCCTTTTTAGTTGATTTTGTACCTGTTATATGGGCCGGGCTGCCATGGCTGGGTTAGTTGGCTCATATAACGTTTGTTATGCTTATGTTAATTGAACCTGGGGGTAACGTCCAAGAAAGTACTTATCAAGAATTCAAGATTCGACTCTCCAAGCCCTAGACCCGACCCTTTTAGGTTGGATCAACTCAACTCTGGAGTCCTGAACCTTGTATTGCTCTAATCTTGAATTTCAGGAGTTCTTTATTTGATCAAAACCAACTTAGCTCGAAACATAATCCATTATTATGAAAAACATGCAGTAATTATACATGAATATTGTAATATAAAAATAAACTTAAAAGAATACAAAATTTAATGTGATTTGATAACATGCTTATATTTACAGGAGGAAGTTTTTATTTTTAGTATTTTAAAATAGAGTTATATTATATGTATATATAGTAGTTTTTACGCCGTTTAAGAAATCCTAATTGTTTAAAGACAATTAATAATTTTTCTATTTTTGCTTGGCACACCCCGCTCTACTCCAGTATATATTTACATATGAGCTATAAATTACAACAATAATTCATATTCATTCTCTATAAATTACTCTTATATTTTCAAAATAAAAACTTTTAGATATAATTTTAAAATTTAATTAAAAAATAATTCAAGGTAAACTGAGGTTATGAATCAAAAAAGTTGATTAATTACTTTTTAAAAAAATCAAATTAAGGTTGTTTTGAAAAAGAAAAAAGAAGAAGAAGAATTGAAAGAGTCAACATGTTGATGACACCAAATCAACCAAAATCAACCAAGTTTTTTATGTTTTTTATTTTTTTTAAACACAAACCGACCTTCGGATCTCAAGCCGATTTATTGGACCAAGTTTTAAAACAAGTTTATTAGAAATATGTTTTTACATTAATTAGGAATAATAAACGAAATATGTTTATAACTAGGTACACTTGTTGTGTAAAAAACTAGGATCCATTAATTAGTAACCACCGTAACACTAATTAACTTCTTCCCATTTAATAATTTCTCATGCAATCGTCACCACAAACAAGACTTCAATTACAAAATCATATACATTATCTCTCTCTCTCTCTCTCTCTACGTCTTTTATCCCTAGTCCTATAAGCGACATTCAACTTTCGTTGCTTACCATAGAATGCAGACAATTCAATTAATTTGGCCTTAATTATCTTGTGATTGTCTATAAAATACAAGAAAGGAAAGCTTACTTATTGGTGGTGCTGTGACAACAAGAGCCGTCTCTTCCATGCATTTTCATTTACTATAAAAAAAAATATAAGGAAGATTCAGTGGCTCCTGTTTTGCAGCCGCCACGAAGATTTGTAAGCAATGATGAGTATGTTTTAATATGATATAAAAAAGGCATAACAGAGTTTAAAATTTAGTGTATCATATCAATCTTTCACATTTCCACAGATCTCCCAGCTCGATGAGTGTATAAAGAGATCTTCGCATAAAAAAAAACCATATATATATATTACATCAATCAAGCTCCAGTATATATTATTGCTTTTACAGAAAGAAGGGCTGCCTTTTCATACATCCAACCTTTTCCACTGGCGGATTTTGGAAACTTATCAACATAAATCCATTTCATGACAAATGGCTCGATTTTTTATTTTTTATTTATTTTGTCTTGTTCGTAGAAATTCATGAGCAATAAGTTGGCGTCTTCCCTCACAACAAAACGTGAAGTTACCAAAAAGTAAGGAAGAGGTACCTTAAATAATTCCCATAAGCACTTTGACGTGGTCAAGAAATATCTGCGATGTGTAAAGCCAAACTAACTTTGAAAAAGACTTAACTAGCTAGCTGATGGATGGATGGATATATATTTTAAAAATCCTCCATTAAAATTATCATAATCGATGGAAGAAAAACCTACTCTCCCAAGACTTTACAATAGTGGTGCTTCCGCTATGAGATTTTATGCATATACAGTAACCTTTCTGGCATACTTTCAAGCTTAATAATGTAAAACCAGCTGCACTTTAATTAGACCTGTTTGCCACGCATCCTTGCTTTTCTGGATTTGAATGAGAAGTGTTTATCCCGAGGCATCAATCTTCTGGGGCCATTTATAAGTTCTTCCTCTTAGCCAATCCCAACAAGCTTCTGCCATTTCAAGCACTGGTATAAATATTCTCCAGTGGAATGGTGCGTTAAGTATATCAAAGACCCTAAAGCTTACACACACACACACACACACACACACACACACACACACACACACACACACTCCCTTCCTTTTCTTTCTTTGTTTTTTTTTTTTTAAAAAACAAATAATGAAAAGGATAGATGCATTTAAATTTTCTAAGGACGTCCAGCGCAAACTGTCTTTCACCCAAAAACGAAAGGACCTGCAAAAGTGATACCTTGGGCTGCGCCGTGGTACTGGTTTGTTTTCACTTTGAATTTATTTATCCAAACTAAAACCTTTTCCACAAAACATCTTCCATATATCCATGCTAGGATAATATATATTAACTAGTGCTTGTGTGAGATTATAATTAAAAAACATAC